TTGTTTATTGTCAGACCAGAGTATTTTTTTAGAAACAAACAAGCCAAAAACTATTTTGATTTTAATCAAAAATGTATTTTCCTCATAAAAAATTTCACATACTCACTGTGTCTACTCTACAGAACTTGTCCATTTCATTACACCATGTGTCAATTCTAGTTTATCTGTTCACTGCAAAAACTCGTGGCTAGTGTGTGTATTACAGCACAGGAGGAGGTATTGCTCAGTTCCACTACTCTTATATAATAAAAAAAAGAAAAATACAGAAAATGTTCTTGGCTATTTGCACTGTATTCCAGACTTAATAGTCTCATGAAAGTTCCAGAAAGTAGAGTTAATTGTATTTGGTTGGTAGAATACCCTTAGAAGCAAGTTAGTTAAGATTCTTCTCTTAATGCTGATTCAGTACATATTCCCATTTCTTGGCACCAGCAAAGTCCAGGCATATAATTTCTAAGAGAATTTTTTTTTCTTTTTTTTTTCTTTTTCTTTTTTTTTCTTGTGGCCTTTTTATTTAGCACAAATGAAGTCATGTGCTTTTTTATTTCAGCAATTAAGTTAATACAGTCACACATTTATGACATATTGGTTGGTACACCTATTACAGTTGCCTTTACTTCCAGGGCTGTGCTTTTTTCTTTGCCCATGTCCCAAAGACTGACTAGAGGAGGATAAAGCTCGTTGAGTGAAAAGGTTTGTTTCTTCAGATAATTCTTTAAATAGCTGTGTCCTACATCGTAGTTCATCTCTTGTGAGATGCCACTGTAGAGATACACCACAGAGATGATTCCCAGAAGAGCACCAAGGCAGGCGAGGAATCCTAGTACGTTGTTCTTTTCATAGTCTTTCACCGCAGTGTCGAGTCCTTTTGTGGTTACATTGACACATTGCTTCTTATTCTGTGGATAGATAGTGGGAATATCTATACAAATTTTGTATTCAGTCGATGGATTTAAGTGTGTAAGATTATAGACCTTTATGTCAGATGGAATTCGAGCACTCTGTGCAGCATGAGAGTTCTCTTTCAGGAAGGCTGTCCATCTAACGCTGGACTTGAAAATTTTAGAACTTGCTTTCCATGAAACTAAAACAGAATTAGACTTTATATCTTTTATTTTAATATGCAAAGATTCATTGCTGTCCTGAGGGAAAGAGCCATTCACTTTAATCATGATTGATTTTAAGTCTGCCCCTACTAAATTTGTCGCTATACATGTATATAAGCCACTTTCTTTTTGTGTTATGTCACTTATGTCCAGTGTTCCTTCAGAATGGATGTAGTATTTATTAGAAATGGTATTAGGCAAAAGTTTGTGTCCGGATGGTGTTATCCAGTAGATTTCAGGTTCTGGTTCTGCTGTTGCTCTGCAGTGTAAGGAAACATGGCTGCCAGATTTTACATCAAGAGTAGATGGAAAACTTTCAGGAGCTATCAGGGGAAGACAGATTTCCATCATTTCCCTGAAGTGTATCTGTCTCACATTCTGGCCTTGGAATTCAGGAGGGTCCACACAAAACAGTGACTCTGGTTCCATGAAGCGAATATTTGTTTTATTCATGTTAATCCAGCGGATGACACAATCGCATCTAATGGGATTGCTGTGTATACTAATTTCCTTCAGGTTAGGCAAGGACTCAATGGTGCTGCGGTACAGGGCACTCAGTGCATTACTGTTGAGCATGAGAGATTCCAGCCTGGGAAGTTTGCAGAATGCATTTGGATGAATATATGATAACCGGGGGTTGTTGGTTGCTTCTATTTTTCTTAAATCTGGTAAATTATCAACAGCGAGGCTATCTATCGAAATCAGTTCAGGCATGTTATTAATTCCTAACTCTTTAAGGTGCAACATATTGCTAAAATCTCCTCTTCGTATTCTGTTAATGGGATTTTTATTTAAATCCAGAAATTTAAGGTTTGCAACCTTTTGAAGAGCAATGTGGGGCACTCTAACAAATCTGTTGTCATAAAATGATATACTTTCTAAATTGTCAAGGCCAACCAAAGCATTATCAGGTATTTCAGTGAGATTTATGCCTGCTAAAACTAAGCTTCGCAGATTGATCAGAGGCTTAAAGTTAAGATCTTCGATTCTGATTATTGGATTTTCTCCAATCATGAGAATCTCAAGATTAGGAATAGCTTCAAACCACTTACTGTTGATCATTTGCAGGCTATTTGAATTGAGATGAAGTCTGAGAAGATTTTTGAGGCCTCTGAAAGCTCCCGGTGCAATCACAGAAAGCAGGTTATGATTAATATAGAGCTCTTGTAAATTGTGGAGTCCAGAGAGACATTCTTCAGGGAGTTCAGTAAGTTTGTTTTCCTCAAGGTACACTGAAAGCAGATGTGGTATTTTTCTAAGATTTATACTGGTCACTGAAGATAAATTATTTTGAGATAAATCCAGACCAGTTAAATTCACTGGCAAGTCTACTGATTGTTCAATTTTTGCAATATTATTAGTCTGTAGAAGTAGAACCTGTGTGTCAGCGGGCAGTCTGGCTGGAAAATTAGAAAGACCTAAATCATTACAGTCCACTGTTGGTGCCTCCATATACACAGACCTGGGGGTGAACCAAGGTCTGATCTCGCATATACATGACTCTGGGCAGTCTACTTTTCTTCCTACAACTTGTAGTAGTGCAGTGATAACTAGGCCAAGTAGAAAATTAATTTTGAGTTGCATGTCCTTCATCTTAGCTCAAATGTTGATAAAAGTATCTGGTTCCTTACTATTCCACAATGATTGTTTTGGAATTCAGTATGACCTGGTCAGTAGATAGAACACAGTTGCATTTGCAAGTGACAAACGCCAAAGACTTTCCTCTTGAGAATAAGTGATAATTTTGCAACCAACTTGTCCAGTAGTAAGAGGCATTTTGTGGAAATGAAGGTCAGTCTGTCCTTGATGGCATAAAATTGATAAACTTTGTGAAGATGAAGCATGTATAGGTGGTCATAGGAGATTAAGCAATTCATTTATTTAGTAGTATTATCTTCAAATCCCATGATTGATTAGTGTTTGCAGGAGTGACAGGATGACCTAAAATGCAAGAAGAGGAAATAATTAGTATAAGAAACTATAAAGTTATAAATTAATTTAGCTATCTCTTGCTGTCTAATATTAATTATTGCAAGTGAAAAAAGAAAATGACTGTGGCGCCTAGAGTATTGTAGTGGTATCTAGATAGCATAAATGAAGTTAATATAGTAATATATCTTTAGATGTATAGCTTGTCACAAATCCAGTAGAGCATTGCTCTGCAGAACAGTGAAGATCCACAACGTATAAAATGGAATCTATCAGTAAGATTTCTCTATATATTTTATGCTCCTTTGGGGTATTTTCTTTTTTCTTACAGTTATCACTAGAAGCAGACTCAGTTATGTTGACTTTGAAAATGTAAACACTGAGCAAAATCCTGCAGAGCATGAATATTCAACTTTTGAACATGAAGTTTATAAAATATAAAGAACATAATTCATGTGTATTCAAAGGCAAGTGAACTGGATGGAGTAATGATTTTCTAAGGCAAACCTGTAAGATTTTTATACAAAAATATACAAGATTGATAATGCAGAGGTTTTATCTTTTTTCTCCCCCTTTTGAAGTTGTTATTTAGGAAGAAAACTCACTTCTTATTAAAGAGAATTAAAAAGAAAAGTGTACATAATAAAGAGCCTATTGTCTTGGCATATTCAGTCAAATTACTGACTTGCGTGTTTTGGCATAGGAAGAAAAAGAAGCGCCAGTAGCAAGAAATAGTGGTAACATATGAATGTTTCTGGAGTGGTTAAAAAATAAAAGAAGCCATGTTAGACATTTGTGTTCTGGTCTGTAGCTATGTAAGTCTCTGAAGTCTGCTGTGATGTTGTTGGTTTTCTTCATGACCCAAATGATCAAATGAACTGAAGGCATAGCATCTTGTAGGACACCCCATCAAACATATCCTTTCTTTAGATCTTTGCCATCTACTCACTTTTTCTGAGGCATAAAATCTTACCACAAGTATGCATTGTGTTATAAGCCACGTAAGTAAAAAGCTTCTTTCTTCACGTTGGAAACAGTGCACATTAATAGCTGTATTTCCTTCAGAGAGCTTTCTGCCTGTACACGGACTCTAACCAGAGAGCATCTCAGAAGTCTATCTTGACACACACTTAGGCCCTTTCTGTCTTTGCCTTTTGTCTGTACACGGACAGAGAGCATCTCAGAAGTCTATCTTATGACACACGCTTAGGCCCTTTCTGTCTTTGCCTTTTGTATTAAAATTCACAATGACATTTGTTTACAAAGTGTAAGATAAGCTTGATACTCCATTGACACTCATAAATAACTTTTCAGGTGTTGCTAATGTGAATTGACAGTATTGGTAAACACTTCAAGGAATTAAGTGTCAAGGATTAGAATTTTAGGTTTCCTTTCCAGGCTGAGGAGGAAGTGGACATACTGCTCAAATAGGCTTTCTTTATCAATTCAGAAGAAATATGTTGGAGCAGGTTGAGTGCCATATGATTTGGACCAGCTTGAGTATATTTGGCAAGTCTTTGAGGTTGCTGTATGTTATGTACATTTAAGGACATGTAATATTTTATTTTAACATATGAATGTATTATTAAAGTGAACAGAGAATGTGTGTGAAAAACATTCTGCTGTTCTGAAGATTAATAATATGTTTTTATGGAAATGGCCCAGTTTATACTGAAATGTGAAGAAATGCTGAGAGGAAGTAATGACAATGTAATCTATTTCTTTGTTTTGGGAAAAGAAATGAACCTGAGGCCTGCAGGAAAATAAAGGTTTGCATGGACAGTGCCTATAACGTGTGCTTTATTAGCCAGCAGAGGCGGGGTGGTGTTTTAATATGCAGTACTGTCTGTTTTATTAGGATCTTTCTGTAGAAATCATTCTACGCCAAAAGCACAGATATAATTTAGCATGTTGGCAGTAGAGGTTTTCTGGGAGTCATTTTTGAGTCCTGTTCTTGCTGTACTTTCTACAACACGTCCTGTTTTCTTCTGTTATTATATTTGGATTATATATTACAAATCTATCAGTAAGCATGACAAATACAAAATGCAAGCTTATAATAATTGGAAGGTCATTGAAAACCTAAAGCGAATAATAAATTCACTGAGATGAACATATTTATGTTTAGTATTTAGAGGCCACCAAGAGGCACAGAGCTTATGCTCAGTAAGTTTATTGGTGATAATAGTTATTCAGTAGTTGTTTTATTATTGTTCTCCCATATAAGAATTTCTGTCCCAAAACTGTTTAGATCTTAGTGAACAAATTCTTTAATTTCTTCTGAAAGTCCATTTCAATTACTTACAGTCCACATTACTGTCTTATGAAATATGATTCGTCTCTTCCTTTTAAAGTAATACCTCTTTCTTTAAAAAAAAAAAAAACTTGATGTGTGAGACTCTTGGCAGGCTAATTATCTCTTCTGCAGACAATAATTGGTGATTCTTAATTAGGTTTGTTTCATTTAGCACTATTGACAGCTGAAGCATTGGTTTACAAGAGGGTATCACCATTATTTGAGCTGGAAAAGACATTCAGGGAATGAATAAACTGAGCAACGTTTCTCATCACTGGAGCAACAGACAGCTAAGAACCAAGTCAGAGTGGGCAGAAAGGAAAAGAAACACGTCAGGTTTTGGCAATCTTTCTTTTCCACTTCAGCAGTTAGAGAGACAGTGATAAAACCTAAAAATGCAGCAGCTACACTGCAATGTGCCCTGCTGGCAATAAGGCAAACAGTTCACTTCACAAGGACCAATTTAGAGGTGGCAAGCATTTTCAAAACACAGCTGTTCGTACAAAGCTACCTTTCAAACACATCATCTGAAAGAGCCACTTCTCAATTCTTGTCATTAGAACCACTTTGAGCAATTCTGTGGACAGAAATCCTGGAAATGTCACTAACCAAAAAAAAAAAAAAAAAGAGGATGCGACATTTCATACCTCACTTTATTACAGTTTCAGCACTTAGATATTTTTTAAAGAAGTAGTCATGGAGATACATAGACTTGCGTTTCAACTTTTACTATCCTGCGGATTTTATAAGACGCTGGCTTCTTTCTTGTTTGCTCTATGATCAATAGCGGAAAAAAGTTTTCTTGAGATATTTTGTTATTACGGCACTATTGATTAAAGGACACAACAACTTATTTGTACTTGTCATATTTGACATATTTGAAGAATAGGTGCAAAAAATTGTTTTCTTTTTCTGTAAAAATGTAACTAGGAGTTTTTGTTGAAATGTGAACAAAAAGTTTGCGACTGAGAAAGAAGTACCAGTTAAAGCATAAAGAGATAATGTAACTTTATTTTTTGTTTTGAGAGAATCAATAAAATAAAATATTCCTAGAAGTTGTTCTAGATACTCTGATACAGTTTCCTGCAATTACGTAAGCTTTGTGAAAATGGAAGGGGTTTCTGCTCACTTTTGTAGTCTTTACATTCCACCCTTTGGAGCAGACGGTCATGGAGAAGCCTGTTTCTCATTAAAAACACACATTATCTGTTAACTGTAATATATTCTTAAACCATGAATAATGTTAAACCATGAATAAGCTTATTGGAAGTGCCTGTGTTTTTGTCAGTCTCAGTTCTGAGATGTTCAACTTGAGGAATTGAGAGCTGATAGTATCAGATAATAGTTGGAGCTTTAGACTCTTATGTTGGTAACCTTAAAAATGATGATCTAAAATTCCCGTTCATGTTTGAAAAGATTGACTAGGGCTTACTGTTGGGATGTTGATTAATTTTGAATCTACTTTCTCTCTTTTTTTTTTTTTTCTTACGATTGATTTGCAGAACTTTAGACTTGCACTGAATAGGAAAAAGTGCAGGATGTAAAGCACACAGCAAAGCATCTTATATTTAAGCCTGGAAACAATTTGCAGTGTATGTATAATTATTTCAGCATGTGGGATTTTATTTGTTTTGTGAACTTGTTAGGTCTTTTCATTTTTTTCGCTATTTGGAATGAATTTCCCTGGGGGAAAACTGAAAGCTTAGAACGGTAAAATGAGAGTAAGAGGATAAATTCTCCCATTTTAGACCACTGCAAGACAAAAGTGTAAAGATTATATAGTTTACATGAAGTTATTTATGCTTGTGGACATAATGTACTCTGAGGTTTCTTTAATCTACAAGGTAGATTCAGAAAAATACTGTGATGAGCTAGATCTACATTCAGGAGAGCTACCCCTTCTCATTCACTAATTGAGTCTAGTCTGGTCCACTCTTGTTCATTATATGTTATTGTAAATTAATTGATATCAGAGGAATTATTACATGGGTACAATTTATCAGGAACTCACTATATTCTTGTATTAATCAAAAATGATCATATTAAGAGTCAGTCAGTGCTTTTGAAAAGCATTGCAACATAACAATCTTTGAATACAATCTTTAAAATAGATATTATGAATTCATCAGAGTAAAATGCAAGCCAGAGGAATATTTACATTTGGTAGCTGATAATGTATTACATATGCATTTTTTAGAAAAACATTTCAAAGAACTTGAATAAGCCATTGATAAAGCCTTTTAAAAATGTGCAAGTGATATAGCACTTCTTTTCCTTAATCTCTTTTGAGGTGAATTAACCAGTGATGGACCACAGAATGGCAAGTAGCTGTGGGAACACCTGTGTGTGAGGCAAGACTTTTGTCAGTCACAGTCACAGGGCTTGGTTGAAATACCATGGAATATTGGCACTATTATTAAAGTTGGCAGCAGAAGCAGCGCTGCATTGGAGCGCTAGCGATGGATGAGGATGGCACTGGTCTGAGCCCACAGTTTGTACAGGAAAAGGTGGTGATTTGGTAAAAAGGAGGAAAAAAAAAAATAAAAAGGAAGAGGCCATGATATTCTCAAACCTTCTCCCTGACTTTTTTCTTTTCCTATTACTGTAATAAAATAGCTTGCTATTGACATCCTGGATTAGTGTGCCAGGCTTTGATTTTAGATTCTCTGTCTGCAGATATCTTTCTCATATACTTTTAGCTCTTAATTGCGTACTTCATAGCCAGGGTACACATCTGATCTTTTCACAAATGGCATAGCAAAAGAGAGGATGAAAAGTTTGTTAGCTGGCATTCAGTAAAATAAATCTTCATTTCATTAATTACAAAGTTATATATATATATTTTTTTCTGCCAGTATGAACTGTACAGAATTATATGTAGGCTTTCTTTCTGAGTGAAGGTATATTAAGAAATTATAATAACAGGGCATGTTTCTTTACCAATCAATTCTGATTTATCAATTGTGTTCCAGTTTTTAGCAGGCATTCCAAGCTCATTTGCAGGAATTTTAATCTGTGACAGGCTATGCATAGGAATTTTATGTGCTTGAATATATTAGTCTATATAGTTGTAAAAATTTTGAAAGGAATCTGAAGTGTGATTTCTTATTTCTTCTTCAGAAATCATATTGAATGTATAATTCTGATATTTTTAGGTAAAATTTTACTCATTGCTCAAAGTAATAATTAATTGTTTTGATTGTTTCTAAATCAGTAGGTATGTGTACATGTTTTCTGGTTGTCAGAGGAAATAGCGAAAGATGAAAATGTTAAAAATAACTTTTCGAAATGCTTAGATCTTTGGCATCCTTGTCACACTTTTTATCCTGAGAAATGTTGCATTGTCTGACTTATCTATTGTCACCATTATCAGACAGTTATGTCAAAAAAAGTACTGCTGCGAGTTGAGAAAGTAATGTGTTCGTTTAATTTATATGTAGTCGTAGATATTCCGCTTCTTTTTGACAGCTGTCATGTTAGTGCTGGTGAAGCACGTTTTGGCAGTTACCTAGGCATATAGTTGGCAGGAAAGCAGTCACGTTTTGGATGTAGGTGATTGTACCCAGTTACCAGATGCTTCAAGCAGATGGCCAGAGCTAAAGATGAGTGAGACCAGTTTTGGCCTGATATTATGAGAAGCTACCAAACTGATTTGGGGGTGCATAATACTTTTGACTAGTACAGAAGCCTAGCCAAAATCAAGCAGATCTTTTGGCAAAGTGTGCATTTTATGTTTTTTTTTTTTCTTTTTTTTCTTTTTTTTCTTTTGGCTCTTGAATTTAAATGATAAACATGTGCCTAAAACATGGAAATAGATGTCTTCAGAGGGATAAAGATATTGGCTGTACTTACCAGCTAGTATTTAGTTGTGAATTTATTAGTTGGCTTTAATTTATGTTATTAGGGCAAGAAGGTAACAGCAAATAGGCTTAGTAGTAAACAAGATAATTTGGGGAATTACAATTTCTATTCTATACTTTTTTCTATAGAAAGATTCAGGTGTAAAAGGCAATAAAAGTTTTTATTTTTGATCCTCATTTATTTCTTCCTTCTTTAGTTTAAATCAGCATTGTTTAATTGTAGGCTGCTAATATTTAGTCTTTTCACACTGGTGTTCTTATTATTTGCTTTGGGAAATTGGCATGTTGAGGCAAATGCCCTTATACTTGAAGAAAATAAATAATCATCTCCAGTGTGCACTTTGTTAAGTTTAAACTGGAGTAGCCTAAAAAATATAAACGGGCTTGGTGAATGCAATTGTATAAGGAATAGCAACATCCCGGTCATCACTTGCTGTATACGTTCGACATGCGGCATGGAATGTGTTTTAATAAGCATGAAAGGAAAGATCTTATTGCTTCTCGTTACAGTAACTGGACATTCCTAACTAAAAACAGTAGTAATTTTCGTTTTGCGGTGTAAACAGTGAAAGAGACAATATTTTTTATGATACATATTTTCTGACTAAACTGCCTTAACTTTGTAATTGTGAATATAATTTTGAGTGATTACTTTTATCCTAAGCCACACAGGGAATGATGTTCACGATAGATTGTTCAACAGAAATGGATATATTTTTATAATCTTGCTTAAGGCAATGTTGAGAAATGGATGGATGAAAAAAACAATTTCAGGATACAAAAACTGACAATGTGTAAAACAAAATTGTTTGTAAAGCAGCTTAGGAAAAAAGAGTTCTGTTCTCTGCTGTTTTTTATTTCAGTTGGAGTGATTTATGCATAATCATAAATTACCAGCTGTAAAAATACTGTCTGATTACAGAAAGTATTTTAATTTGTATTTAATTTTAATTACAGTTTTTGCTTAGTTGAGCATCTCATCAATAATATTACATGTTAAGTTAATTTTTGTATATGATTTGAAAAAAACTAATGTTATTTTCAGACCTGCAATTATTGTCTTTTTGTGCTTACATGACCCATTCATCAGCTGTAACCCACTGTAGGATTATGACGGTTCATTTCGTTTTGTCCCAGAAGTGAATACATTAAAGTTTATTCAATTCTATTTTCTTTTTATGATTTGCTTTTAAAAATAAGACCAGAAGAGGATATTAAATAAATAATAACAATACTTACAGTATGCATCTACTATGTATGACTCTAAAGCTAAAGTAATTATATTCACTAACTGTGTTTTCTTTCAAGTGTTCCTGTTTTCCTTTTAAAGTTGAAGTAATTTATGTTTGAATTTACAAACTTACTTTATTTAACTAACCATGTCAGCATGTTTAGACTCAACTGCCACTTCCCCCATGCCCTTTTTTGTCCAATCTATAATCATTTAGTGTTTACCATTATCTTAAAAGATTCTTTTATATTTTATTTGAACTGACAAGTTCACTCAGCTCCCTTATATTATGTGATTTGGCACATTATCATGTCATTGACCAGAATTATCTTAGTTTAATTTCTCTCCTTGAAGCGCTTGTGACATAATCACATTTTAATTTTGTATTTCCTTTTTAACTCTGCAGCATTTATTATCATTTTTATGCCACCTTTCTTCATTTTGTGTCCCAAATCTGAAAGCACTTTAAGCAGAAAACACTTAAATTAATGTGCTGATCCCACAGAGAATTTTGACCAGCATTTCTGTTCAGGTAGTACAATCAGATTGTGGTAAATGCACTCAAAGCTTGGATATAGGTTTTCTAGTCATGCATAATTTTGTTTTAGTTCCTAGTTAGAATGCAAAAACTATGCACAGACATATAACCTTTAGGTGCCTGTCTCAATGTATCTAGATGTTAAAGATGCACAGGAATATTTGTGCATTTAAATGCATATACCTTTGGAAATATGGCTCTTAAAATGGAACCAAAGATAAGTTTCAATCAGAGGTATTGAACACTGATATTCCTTGAAAATATCCTACCAGTACTTGCTAGTGGTGATTATGGAATGACAGACTGACCAGTTTCGTTTGCCACTGGTGTTGTTGTGGAATAGAGGAATCATTTCAGATTGTCTGAGTTCATGCTTGCAAAGATTAAGTTTTGAGAACAATGATAATGCTTAGACAAAGGAGCCTGTTATTTCATTAGAAGACACACTGTTTTAAGTCTGGCTTCAACCTTTCTATTTGCAGATAATGGTCTGGTTGTCTTTTCTACTAGTATAAACAGCTTGAATGAGTAAGAAAATATAGACATTTCAGTAATATATAATTTCAACAGTCTGAAATTATGCGATTATGGTCTAATACTAATTTTTGCTTCAAAATTGGAACTCATTATTGGGCAATAAGAAGGAGAAAGACATGATATGTTTACTTACGCAAGGGATGATCTCTAGTATGTCTGTGAAACATCAAATATGAATGTAGCGTATGCTACAATAGTTTTATTCTACATTAGTTTATTCTACAAGGTGCAGGTAAGAACTCCCATAGAACACTGTACAGTTCTGGTCACTCAACTTCAGTAAAAATGAGCTAAAATTAGGGAAGATTCAGTAGGTGAAAAAAATCTATGTTATTTTTAGGAAAGGAAACCAGGAAAATGGTTGGCTTTATGCAAAATGGGAGGGAGAGAGCTGCTTTCTATAATTATATGAAGTTAAAAACAATGGAGTGAAAAAAACTATTTAAGCCGTGTAGGCACTACAAAAAATGATTCTGTAATGGACATGAAAAAATTAATGTTGACCTTGAAAATTATTGCCACCTGTCAGATGGAGTGAAATTGTAGAACAGTGAAAAAAGCACTGGGACAAAAATCACACTTTTTTTTTTTTTTTTTTAAGAGCAAGTTTGTTCAATTTGTTTGAGAACTTTGGTGACCTCCTTGCTTATAATAGCAAGTGTCCTTCCAGTCCTGTGAGCCTTAAAAAACAAACAAACAAACAACACAACAAACCTATTCCTCTGTCAGGAACAGGAACAGTTGCTGCTGTTTTTGTACAAAATATTATGTACAGTGATATATTATTTCTACAGGCACCAGGAGTGGGTATATGTACTGAAAGTCCTGGAGCTGTTTCACCATATACATACATGATAATTCTAAGAAAATGTCTCAACTGACAGGGTCCTTATGAAGATTTCACTGAAAAAATGTTATTGTGGTTCTTAAAAATATTCTCACAGTCTGTCCCACCATGTTACTACTCTGCCTCATTAACTCCTTCAGTTAACAGTGTTCTCCACAGTTAACTAGGAGCTTGTATGGAAACAGTGACAGCCAAATGTTAAGAAAAAACACTATCCTATATAAATGTTGGTGCTTTGAAAAGAATAAGGAGGTTTCTACATAGATAATCTAGAATACATTCCATAAATTATAAACAAAGAGTAAAAGGAGATATAAAAGTAGCTTTTTTTTTTTTTTTTTTTTTTTAAGCAAGTGGGAGTGGTATTTCAGTGGTGTCCTTTGAAACTGCTCTTTTTCCACTGTTTTCCACACAATGCAGAAGGAATTAGGATACTGGAAATGCATGAAATCCCTGTAATTTGCAATATTTAAAACAAGATATGTTGTTATGGTTCAGAAAAGAA